AGGGAAGTTTAGGTTAGATATTAGGAAGAATTTTCTCACTAGGAAGGTAGTAAAACACTGGACCAGGTTACCCAGAGAGGTGGTGGAATTTTCATCCTTGGAGGTTTTAAAGACCTGGGTAGACAAAAATTTGGCTGAAATTATCTAGTTGGAGTCCAACCCCCACTTAGAGCAGGGGGTTGGACCAGATGACCACCTGAGGTCTCTTCCAACCCTTATTTTCTATGATTCCTTGTTGCCAAAAAGGCTAATGGCATACTGAGCTGCATTGGTAGGTGTGTTGCCAGTAGGTCAAGGGAAGTGATTATTCTCCTCTATTCAGCACTGGTGATGTCACCTCTGGAGTACTGTTTTCAGTTTTGGGCCCCCACTACAAAAAGGATGTAGACAAATTGGAGTGTCCAGCAGAGGGCAACAAAAATTGGTGAGGGGGCTGGGGCACGTGACTTATTAGAACAGGCCAAGAGAACTGGGCTTATTTAGTCTAGAGGAGACGGAGGGAATTTAATAGCAGCCCTCAACTACCTGAAGGGGGGTTCGAAAGGGGATGGAGCTAGACTGTTCTCAGTGGTAGCAGATGACAGAACAAGGAGCAATGGTCTCAAATTGTAGCAAGGGAAGTTTAGGTTAGATATTAGGAAGAATTTTCTCACTAGGAAGGTAGTAAAACACTGGACCAGGTTACCCAGAGAGGTGGTGGAATTTTCATCCTTGGAGGTTTTAAAGACCTGGGTAGACAAAAATTTGGCTGAAATTATCTAGTTGGAGTCCAACCCCCACTTAGAGCAGGGGGTTGGACCAGATGACCACCTGAGGTCTCTTCCAACCCTTATTTTCTATGATTCTATATTAATCATGGTATCAATGTAACACGTAGAAGTGCCCAAAGGCAAAGGCAATCTCTCCTCCTCCCTCCACCTGTTATTTTTTTTTTTTTAAATGAAGAGACATGGAGGCCTTCAACATCTTTTTCTGCCTCATTTTACTCCTGAGGGAGATGACATAACACAAATATAACTGAGATCTATCCATGATGAGCTGATAACTGGTGACATGATTTCCTATAAGAGCTTTTGCAGTATTGAGGAACTCCAACAAGGTCTTAATTTCTAATATCTCTTATGAGTTTAGCAGGCATCTCTATGAGTGTCCAGAAGCTCAGTCACTTGTCAAATAGGCTCAAACTCTGATATCTCTTGCAAGTCTTGCTAATGTTAAGGGGAAAATACAAAAGATTCTCCAGGAGCACTTTTTAAAAAGCCCTCAATGTGGCACAGGACCAATATGCTACTTCTGACTCACCTTCACATCACACTGAATTTTAAGTTCCCAGGCTTTCAAATGTGTAAGAATTTTTAAAAGAATACGTTGTATAAAATAAGAATTTGTAAGATGAACAAAGCACCTAACAACTTTCACCGTGTAGCCAGAAGGAGTGTTTTTAATCTTGTATGCCTGGCAAGATGATGTTTGCTCTCCTCTGAGAGAAGACCCTGCCACAGCTGTCTTTACTCTCGTTTCCTCAAGGGATGCTTACTTTAATGTGCCATATAGGTAGCTACTCCAGAAAACTGGTTCTCAGAATGTAGAAGCAGGATTTTTTTTTTTTTTTTTTAAAAACCACATGAATGGGTCATACCTGCATTTGAGATTGTATTGCCTTTTATGCAATACCATGACAATTCCACTCGGCTGAGGTGTACAAACTAAGAACATTTGGCAGGACATTTAGAGCAATGTAACCTCAATACTGAAGATTATTCCCCTGATCTGACAGAGCTAGAATAGGATATTCAGGATATCATCCTAAGCAATTTTATCTTCCCGGTCTTTGTCTAGCTGGAGAAGGCAGAAGAGAAGCAGGGGAGTTATACTGTTTTTTTGTGATCTCCTCTATGGTTTTCCTATAATTACTACATAAATGATCAGAATGTTGAAGGAAGATTTTGTAAGTTTAAATAAATACATTAAAAATATTACCATCAAAATCAGGAAACTGTTTTGTACAAATGAACAAGCCAGATAGACATCCTGGGCTATGCTCAACTGTTAAAATTGGGCAGATGAATGTTTGATGCTTAGTGCATGAAGACTGACTCAATACTATGTAATTCTCAAACCAGCTCTTGCAGAGGGATATAGTTCAGTGTTATGATCCTCAGAAGAAACTGAAAAAAAAAATTAAAATCAGGATTCCTAAAAAGGCTGGGCTATCATTTTTTGGCCCTTTCTTTAAGGAGTACTTTGATTCAATAGTTATCACTATAATGCAGATATGAAAAAAATCCATGCAAATGTGAGGTGGAGTTTCCAAGTAAACACAGACTTCACAGTTGGTTGAAAATTCTGCTCGTATCAGCCTTCTTTCTTTGGAAAGTCAAAGGGTACATGCATTTTACGTTACATTTACATTGACTTAACTAGGGCTAGGATCCATTTAATGCCAATCTGTGCAGACATTCAGGGAGGTGAGTTAACTTAGATCGAGGAATGGCTTCGCTCGATTTAGTGAATGTCTGCACACATTCGCAGTGTAGCCCCAGGGCTGGGAAAGCCCAACTGCTCTTCCTATCACCTCCTACAACCCTGTTTGGGCAATTTTTAGCTCCTTGATCCTCCCACCGTGGAAGGACAACCCATGTGTGGACCCACCAACCAAACACCCTGCAGACTCACCAACACCTCCTATAGACCTGCTAGCCCCAATGCCACCCACCCCTCCCCCTATCCTGAGTTACTTACACTGGTTTCCCAGCATGCCTCATGGCACCAACAAATGTCTATACACACTGCTCCAAATCTAAAATCATGTGGCTTAAAGTAACCTGCATGCCTGTAGACCAGGTGCAGCAAGTTTCTGCACGTACTCAAAAAGTCTCATTAACCCCTACTGGAAAGTCATACTCCACTTAGGATATGACAAGCAACACAATTACTGTGGTATAACTCACCCTGGATTTTACTTAGCAATTGGGAGAAGATATGACCAGCTCTCCCAAGCTAGCTGCCTGAAGTATGCTCTTTTATAGTGCCCAGCCAGTAAGCGGCAAGTGCACTAGTCCCCAGTGAGCAAATCCAGGATGAAATTGAGTGAAGAAGCAGACACCAGTGTATAGTTACCCCTTATTTTCTGGGTAATTTTAGTTCAGAGCAGAATGCATTACAGTAGTGAAGAGATGAGCAAGCAATTGCCTGCTCCGGTTTTACTCTGGAGTGAAGCCAATTTACTCCAGAGAAACCACGTCATATGTCTGTGTCTTCAGTTATCACCTCAGGGGATTTCATGCAAAAAAGTAAAGATAAAAGGGTTTTGTTACACATTCACAAAACCAATCCTCATTACTCATCTTCTTCATAGGAGGTAGATTAATATTCCTTACAGGTTTCTGAGTGCTGCAACAGTTTCATAATTGAGTATCACCTGTGGAATCTTGTTCTTTAACATTCAGTTTCCTCAGCCCAAGAAGACTAAAATTCTCAGCTGTAATTGGATTGACCTTGTAAAACAATACTGTGAAGGCTTTAGATTTTCATGCACAGTACTCCATCAGCTGGTGTTTTATAAACTGTTACAAGTCAAAGATTAATAGTGAATGAGCCACTACTGAACTTTCTGCCACACCTACATGTTTACACTTCTGTCCTACTAATACTATGACTCGGATAATAACTTCTTTAAAAGGAAGAGTGTGTGACGCTACACTAGTAATTACGCACAAAGCCTATGTCAAAAGAAAGGTAAAGTGTTTGACTCTCTTACAGTTTTCAGCCCTATGTGTACGTTATGATATGTATGTTTAGTTACCTGATGTGTATTCACAAATTTTCAGTAACAGAAGTATCATATCGTTGTTTAACTAGTTTGGGAAGCTTAAATTTATAGCCTCAAAATATCATAACTTAAGTTATTATTTAACTGCTTGTTATCAGGAGCATTTTCTGCACACTTTCTAGTGAGGACTTTCAAAGTTTGGTAGGTAGGGAAAAATCAATATACAGACCAAATGCTGTAGGAAGAAACATCAGCATATACTGTGAGGAAGCATGAAATATACTACTTGGAAATGAGTCCGTATTCTATAAATTTTAAGTGGATGAAATACCACTGAAGCAAAACTTAGCTGGATTCTTTCCATGCATATACTACTAAGAACATAATTTACTTTTATTAGGAATCAAGTTTTTACAACTAAGGTAACATTTCAGCTGAAATTCTCTAGTAAGTTTCTAAAACATTGCACAAATGCTATAAAATACACCACAGGACCTCTTGCCTAGAAGAGAGAGAAAATTTACCAATTTACAGCTATAGATATATTTGTTCCAACTTGTGACGATACATTTATCCTTTCTTAACTACCAGACTTTTTAACAACTGTGCCATTACTACTCATTAATATCAGAATCAGTGTTCTTACTTTTGCTATTCATAAACAAACAAACAAACAAACAAACAAACAAACAAACAAACAAACAAACAAACAAACAAACTGGTCTGGTTGGATTCTCTTCTGCTCTATTCTGACTGGATTTTCCTTCTGCTTTGAACCTCTGACTAATAGAGAGAGAAAGTATTCCCTCATGGACAACAGACAGATGTGCGACAAAACATGAAATAGTAGCCAATGTTGTTGAGTAACACTCAATCACAATTCACACTGCTGTAAAATCATTACATATATTAATGACCAAAGAAGAAAAGAAAATACTTTCTCTCTCAGAGTGTGAAAAACAAACTGGTTCCAATTCAGATCTGAAAAAAGCAACTAGTTTCACTGGTTCACACTGCATTTGAATATGGCTCAGTGCTTACAAATAAACTATGAAGTCATGAAAACACAGGAGAAAATAGAACAAGATCCTTAGAGGCATACAAATAAATTAGGTTTAGAGAAGGAAACAGTATTTGCCAAAAAATACCGTTTAAGGTTTATATGCGAGCCTTCTGTTTTGCAGCTCACTCCAGTTAATAGTGGAGTTGATCATTCTGTTGCATTTACCTTGGTTGGGTTGCATGTTCATATTTGGTCTTGGGCCATAGTTGCCCATAGGCTGTCCTTGGCTCATAGTCATCTGATTCTGTACTGGCATGCTCTGTGAAGATGGCACTGAGTGATTATAACCTCCCATGGACCCATGGCTACTTGAAGGCATGTTCATGGAACTGTTTGTCATGCTGAGTTGATTAGGTCCAGGTCCTTGCATAGGCATATGGTTAGGTCCTTTGGAGAGAAAAAGCATGTTACAGTAAGTACCCTGAAACACAATGCTAATTCTAATTCTTTAAACTACATTGACTAAAATATGGAGTTTTGCTCATGATTTGTTGACCTGGTTAAAACCAAGTTAGCAACTGTCATTAAACTTATTTCCATTAGGACACTGCACTTCATCTCAAACAGAAGCTAAGACTATTAAAATAAAAATTGCAAATCATCATTCAGCTTTTCTTATATCTACAGTGCATGCAAAAATTAACCCTTCCAGCACTAAGCTCACACATCCCTTAGATTTCAACAGATGACCTTCTTGATTAGTGTTACAGTAGGAGCTGTAAGAGTCTAGCTATATAGATTTTATTTTATTTAAAATAGCTAAAATAAATAATATTTTGAAATTGATATTTAATAATGAAAAGATATTTATATAGTGTTCTACAGACCTAACGTTTATACAGTGCAAAGAGATGTATACAATAAAAACTGGTTATAAACATATTTAACATTAGGTTCTAAAAATCAAATTTACAGCCAAAAGCACATAGCTATATTTAAAGATTACAGGAGGGGGAGGAAAAAAAAAAGTTCACCTCTCACCATTGCTCCTAGTGAAGACCCAAAGGATGAACAACCTGGTCACACACCCATATGGCCAGTTATAACTCTTCACCCTTTACTCCTCCCTTCCTGGCAAGACAGGCTGGAGTTTGATTGATCTCTTGGTTATACCCATTCTCAATGGATATTTTAAAGAGTATGAACATGACAGCTTGATAGAACACCATCTGACCAGTTTACCTGTTATTTCAGCCAAGCAAAATTTAAGGTCCTCCCCCAATTTAAGTATTAGTTGTTCATATGCTGAATATTTCTTCTCTTTTTTATAACTAGAAACTGCCTCTGTATAAAGGGTATTTTTCTTTGCCCTTCTCTGGTAGCCACAAAATGCAACGTTATTTTCTACAGTCTTTTTAGACAGGTTATATCCCCAAAACTTTAAGAATGAAATAATATAAACCTAAAATGAGAAATGCAAACAGAGAGAAAATGAAGAGTCCATGAAAATGAAAAAAAAAATTCTTATTAGATAAGAAACTTGATTAAAAGGTAATGAAGTAAGAAGGTATATGCAGATGATACATAGTAAGAAGAAAATATATCCTGCTACTAGTAACAAGACAGGACAATTTTGAAAGTAAAAACCTGAACCATGTCAAGTATAAAAGGATGCAATGGTTTGGCTAATATGTGTGAAAATTATATATAAGCACTATATTAGGGCAGAGTCTGCAACCTATGGCTTGCAGGCTGCATCCAGACATGAGGGTTCAGCGGCATTCAGCGGCACAGAGGCTTTCCCAGTGTCATTGTGGGAAGCAGTAGTGGCAGCAGGTGTTCCCCCCCTGTGTCTGGGTGGAGAAACAGTGGTGGCAGCACCAGGTCCTAATGCCTGCCTTCCTGTCTCTAACCCAAGCTGGGTCCCACCGCTGAACTAAGGTTTTAAGAGCCAGGTCTTGGCCAAGGAACAGAAACTGTAACAGTGAAAGATCTTTGATAGATGTACTATTTGAAGTGCTTCAAAGGGTAAGGTACTCATCCTTTGAAGAGCTCCAAGATGGCTGAAGTATTCCCTGTTATATTTGTCTGCTCTGCAGAATGTCTCTATTCTCCGGCATCCTACAGCCCTCCACTCTCCCCCTCCCTCAGTGAAGGGAGAGATGGTGGGTAGCAGGGCAGAAAGTCAGTGAGCACTCTCCTGTGCACTTGGCTGTCTTCAGGGCTAGAAAGCAAGAATCCTTGAATGCCTTTCGATATCTGGTCTCCTGGTTCAAGTGTGTGTGTTTGAGGGGGGTGCTTTAGGAGATGGGTCACTGACAGTCTGGGTGGAGGGGAGGAGACGGAGAAGGGGACAAGGGGACACAAAGGGAAGCTACAGGACTGGATAATCCCAGTGAGGTCAGAGGCTGGAAAGCACTAGTTGACAGCATGCCTTACTCACCCCCACCTCCTCCTGGAAAGCATAGATGGAGGACAGAACAACCCTGTGCCATGTCCCTTGGCTACAAGCAATCTCCTGCATGCAGCTGTTGTAATTTTGAAATGCTGCAGCTAGTGGGCATGGGATGGGCCTGTGGCTGAAGTGCTCCATTTTTTGAACACCTCAAGGTACAGCTTCATTCAAAGTACTTCAAATAGAATGTCAGTCCAGGGCCAACGTGAAAACATTAAGGCAGCACTTTATGTGGTGTTACAGATTACTGGCAAATTTGCAGACAAAAAGATGGAAGGAAAAAAAAAAAGACTATGGTCAAGAATCAAAATCTTGTATTTTCTTGCATAAATTATACCTTCAAATAAGATACGCACCTTGTTTCTGAAAAGCAGAATAAAGAAAATAAGTTATTTCCTTGCTTCTACAGGAGGAGCCCCAGGGCAGGGGATGTCCATAGCCAGCAGCTAGGGAGTCCCAAGAGCAGCACTGCAGTATTACTTTCACTCATCTCCCCTCAGCCAACAAAAACTGCTATTATCATACTTTCTTGCTTATAAGGCACTGAATTTTGGTGGGAAAAGGGTATGCGAGAAAATACAGTAATAAACCAAATGAAAAAGAAATGAAGAATATGGGATTATGCTTAGGGAAATTCCTCTTGACCAAAGGAAGTCTTTTGTGTGCCTGATATTTTGCTGAAAGAAAATTAAACAGCTTTTAAGTCTCCTTGATCAGGCAAACAAAAAAATGGAAAGGGTGAGGGCACAAGATGTGTCATGCCCAGTATAGTCTCACTGCAAAACAAGTATCTAAGATAATGATAGAGAAAATAAGTGGAAAATATGGGTACAGAGGGGGTTGCTGGCACGAAGGAAAATCCACTAGAAATCCGTAAAGAATATTTTGGTAAATAGGAATATAATCAGGAAAAAAGTTAATGTAGTCTATATTGTTTTGTCTTCAGAACTGTCTAAGTTTGGAGTGGAGTAAGGAAAATGCAGAAGTAGATCTGTAGGAAAAAAGGAGGTCATCGCTTACTATAAGGATGAGGTAGCTGTCAATCTGGCAGTCAGAGCAAAACCCAGACTCAAGGATATTGTAGAAGAAACAACTGCAGGAATGACAGAAGGCTACTTTCTCATGCACATTACTGAGAGAGGGAAGAAGAGCACAGAACAGTAATTTGAGTCAGGACCTAGAGAGTTTTTATTTGCTTTTCATTCAAAGAAAAAATTGTCAATACCAGATTTTAGAGAGCTGAGAAAGACAGAAACAAAGGAATTCTGGACAAGGAGTATTAAAAGGAGCTACAGGAGAAAGACAAAAACGATAGTGAAAGAGAATCAACAGAATGAAAAGAAGAAAGTTGGCTGGCAAAAGACCGAGAAGTTGATAAAGTAAAGGGGGAGAAATAGATTATTCGCAGGTTAGAAAATGAAAAGTGCTGAAATGTGACAAAAAAGGATCTCTTGAAGTGAGACCCAGTATTCCCATAGGTGAGATCATGTCCCGAAATACTTCTTAAGTCTCCCTCTAGTTTGACAGCGACACAAGACTATTAAAAATTATGAGTAAGTTTGTTTAAAGAAAACTGCTCGCTTTGAGTATAACAACTCATTCAAAAACTCATGGAACAAATGCTTTAAGTATGAACTTGAGCTCTCTTCTGTCTTTTGACCCATTATGAATGGTGTGTTAGTGTGAAAGCAAAACACTTGTAACAGGGTAAGTCCAGACAAGACTAAGGTTATGCTCAGAGGAAGGGAAAGGGCATTTTGGAGTTTGCTGGTAATTTACAAACATCTAGTATTCAAGAAGTGCAGCTACCACTGGAGACTGTCACAGAACTTTCCACCTGGAGGCCCATATTGCAAAGGTGGTAAATATGGTTATTATCAACTCCTTCTTATCAATATATTACACCCAATTTTCTCCAGGATTATCCATATTGCAATTAATGCAACTTCTTCAAACTGGCCTTCCTTCTAACTCAATCCAGATTTCTGCCCTATTGTAGAAGGCAACTATATTTCCTCCATAAGGTAAAAGGAAACTGGTTATGGCCGTTTTCTCTGGCTACTAGAAAACAGTGCCAAAAGATTCAGTAATACATAAAACCCTTTATTATCTACATCAGTAGGGCCAACGATTCATGGTTTATTGGTTGCCACAAGTTAGCCGCATGCCCTCCTCTAGTGCCACTCTGATCCCCTTCCCCAGCCTGATTTACTGTTCTGCCTTCTGCTCCCTGCTCTATGCCACCTGCCCCATCTGCTGCTCTAGTTTCTGCTCTCTGCCCTGTGCTGTCTGCCCCTTCTGCTACTGCTTTCTCCTCCCTGCCCTGTTTGCCTTCCCCCCCAATGTGCCATAAACAGAGGCCATCCATGCCATTTGTAACACTGCAAGCTGACTTCCCATGATCCTAGACAGTAAGTGCTAAGTCAATCATCCCTTACTCAAAAGTTCTTTACCTAGAAGGGAGTGACCTACAGTGAGCCCTTAAATTTCTTCAGGACTGACCAAAACAAGGTGGGTTTTTTCCATCATGATTCCTTCATTGTAGATGTTCTATCCCATAGAAAACTTCCAAAGCTCCTCAGTTAGTCTGTGCACTAATCATTCCAGGTAGGTCTATTCTCGATTATTTTATCACAACTCCCTTGTTTGTACATGTTCTTGACTATATACTATTTTTTGACTGATTGACCTTTTTTTTTTCCCAAGAAATTTACAGTTATGGATTAAGCTTCCATTGCAAATATTGCACAGTAGGTACCCTCTGAATACATGAAACAAACACATGTATACAAAATAAAGTAAGTAACTGAAAGCACACATGTCAATGAATACAAAAGGTCTGAATTTAGGAACCTAACAACACTTGCAGACAAAAAAATTGTCACATTTCAAATTGTACAATTAATATGATAATTCTACTCTTTTTCTAAGGCATAGGAAGAGCTATTAAACTCAGGGCACAATCCTCAAGTTAGAGCTCCATCTTGTTTATCTTTATCTTCTCAAAGAATCTTAAATAGATTACAAAAGGGAAAAAGCAGACCTAAAAGAAAGTTGGAGGTGATAAGTTAAAAAATGTGTTTAAAGTCTCCAGTGGGAAACTACCCAAACAAATCTATACATTTTTCACATATTTTTATAAGCCTTCTTTTATAATTTTATGTAATTTGCACAAGATAAATCACTATTTAAAATGTTTCTCCTCTTTTTGTAGTGAAGTCACGACACTGAAATTGTGATTTTGCAATCGATTTTCTTTGAAAGTGATGATCATCATAAAAAAAACTAGAGGCTGGGGGACTGAACTGTGAAAGATGATGGTATTCCCTGTTGCCATGTCTACACGGTAAACTTACCATGCCTGGCTAACATGTTCCCACACTGCATTGCTCCAGGAGGTTTGCCTCCTAAACCACAAGTAGTGTAGTACATCCACAATGAATTGAGGGCAGGGTAATAATTAGCATGGCAGTGGGCTAAAGAGCTCATCTACAGTGCTGTATGGACACAGCTATACTGTTTGTGGTTTTGGAGACAGCTCAGGGGAAGCAGCACAGCATTTGAGGGTATTGCTGTCTAGAATAGTAAGTTTACTGCCTAAGACTACTGCAGAGAGACCCTGGGAAAGACGGGATATTCTCCATCAAAAATACCTCTGCTCCACCCTGGGGAGCAACAGGATCTCCACTGCCAAATTCAGACTGTGTAGAAGTAGAAGACGTAACTAGATTGTGCTCCAGTTCTCTAGGGGCTGGCCAGATAGCTGGTCACAAAGTTGATGGTGTCCCCATCAGATCAATTAAACTGTATTGTAAGTGAAAGTAAGAACTTGAGAAACTACTATGTTTTTACCTTGTGTTTCAAATTCTATGTGGTTATTTATTACGTTTGCTCTCAGCAGAGTTTGCCCATGTACTTATTTGAGAAGGGCGAGGAATCCTTTGATGACAATGTCCTTTCTCTGAAAGAATCACTACCTCAAAAAAGCCTTGGTCTGAAGAGTACTCTTGTCTCCACTGGGGGAGAAGGCTTGAACTAAGGGAACGTAATTTTAAATTGACAACTAAATTATGGGAAGTAGGTACTAGGATTTTATGAAAGGAAATTCTGGGAAACAGCATCCCTATAAAGAGGCAAGCTTTTCCAGGCTCCTTCATTCTGACTGACTGCTGAAGGGAGCAGTTATCTCTGTTGTCAGGACTGTGCAGTGTGAAATTTTATCATCTTATGTCATTGCTTTTTCTACTTCCCCAACACTGACTTTTTATGCCAGCTTGTTTTGTAATAAAAAACTGACTTTAAATTTACACCTGAAACAATGATCTTGAGGCAGTTTCTTCACAAATCTCTTAACATTCAATGTTTTCCAAGATAAAGAATATAGAAAATTAGTGGAAATTTGATTATATTCTGTATAAAAGTGTTCACATTTTTAAAGCTTACCCAAGCTTAAAACACCTTGTTTAAGATATAACTATTTTATTCCTATATCATTTTTAGCTATGATGATTTTAGATTGTCTCTTTATGGAAGGATTTGTATTCATTCAGCCACAGGCCAATACCTTTCCCCAATAAGCCTTCTAAAGCCAGCTGTACTGCATGGTTTCAAACAGACTAAATTTAGCCAGTTCTGTTCATCAGAAGAATGCTGTGTGTCAGCTACATCAAAGCCCAAGGGCAGCCTGATAAACACTGAATACAGGTCACGTAGCTCTGTAGCTAACAAACTCTAAGAGAGCTTGTACTCGGGGGCATTCAAAGCAGTTTTGTCATCAACAATCTAGTATCCCTTGAGCCCCCATGTCGTTTCTGTTGCTAAGCAACGCTGGTGTTAATGTCTTAGAGGAGAAAAACTTACCAGGCATCTGGCCGTTCATCTGGTTCTGCATGTGTGGTGCAGGAGGGCCCCCACCTACCATACCATCTGAAGACATGTTGTGAGAACGTGGAGGTGGGGGAGGGCCACTCTGACTCATTCCTCCAGGACCCATAGGCATATTCTGTGTGGGTGGCTGAAAGGAGACAGTTTAGTCAAACAAGAGAAGCAGTTAGTCTGACAAATATATTTATGTACATATGGTACAGCAGTTGCCTATATTGTTAAGTGGGGTATGAAGGAAAGCACTGAAAAGCATTTTGTTTCTTCTGATATGTTTAGCTACCCTTAGTAGTCATTTTAGGAAAACTTTTTCTATCTCCTTTGATTTTATTACATGCGCACAGCACTGCAGCGTCTTCCAGCATGGTTTTTAAATACCGCACCACAAATCAATGCCTCATTAAAAATTAGATTAGAAGTTTTCAGATTGCTAAAGAAGTTACCCTTTCTGCATAACCTTTTTAAGGTACAACCCCTTCATAGGAATTTAAGGCACTAATTTTCTACAGCTGTGTTTTCAAAGCAGTATTTTTTACATCAAATGCAAACCTTCTATAATCTTTTCTATCTAACACAGTTTCTGGTACACCCATAAAGTTTGCAGCAGGAAAAAACAGTTATATCAAAGTGAAAGTCTCCAAATGCTTGTGCATGGCAAAATAATTGCTCCTAGATATGGTGAAAGGTTTGAGATCTCTCCCTCTGAAGCACAGACGGCCTCGTTCATAATTTTGTGCCAAACACCCCCTACAGACTAGAAGCACATTAGGGCTGGCCTCCAAAGGTCCAGAGACAGCTGCCTAGAACGGATGTTTTTGGCAAATTTCCTAATGAAACTGTGAGGAAAATAACTAAATAACCTTGAGAGGTCAAATAGGGAGAGCAAGAAAACAATGTACACAAGAGGGAATTTACCACCAGGTACTACTAAGAGGGACATATGGGAGTACAGAAACTGATGGTAGTTAGTTTCATTCTCCCCTTCAACTCTCAAAAGACCATATTCTTCCCCCAACCCTGATGCCTCAGTCAAATGCTTTCTGAGATAAAATTGTTCTCATTTTTCAGAAGAGAATACAACACAGTTGCAGCCAGGGGGTTACCCAGATGGACTGGGGGTAGGCAGACAGGTATGAGCATATATCTGCAGGGAAAAATGCACATACGATGGAATTATCCAGTAAGCTCTGTCAACATTATATTATGGCAGAGGCCACCTCCTTAAGCAGATCTTTTCTTTCCTTCCTATCTATATGGGCTCTGAGCAACAGTTAAGTTTCTTCAAAATTTCACTGGAAAATTTGTGAAAGTCCTTCTTTCTAGACAGCAGTTTCTTACAAATCACCAATGTACTCCCAGCAGGAAAAAAAAAAAAGCAAAAGGGAGAGAGCATCCATTATGAATGCCACTCTCCATCCCCCACAAAGATACAGAGAAGGGGATAACCTTCCATAATGGCATTACCCCACTTTCTGCAACAAAAATAGCAGGACATGGAGTGGGTAAGGAATGAAAGCAGCTACCATTTTACTTGATCTGCTACTTTTATTAAAGGGGGTGGAGGGAAGGGAGGAGAAGAAAAAAAAAAAAAAGGCCTCTCTGGGAAGCTCTTGTTTCCCTTCACTCCAGCGGGGAGCTTTGTTGACACTAATTGAACAAGAATTACCTAAAAAAGATATCAAGTATGCATCAAGACAAGAGAGTCATTGACATTATTTCCCATTTTATTTTTAATAAACTAGTTTAGGAATACATGACTAAGGACCACTGGAATTTGCACTGGCAGTGCACTGCAAAGTGGCTCCTTTAACATTACAGTTTCTGCTGTGCACCTCCTCGCCACTGGTTGGCGGAGAGGCCCAGCCAATCGCCCCCGATTAGCAGGGAGGTGAAAACTGCAGTTTTAAATATGCCATGGTTTTTGCTTCCCGCTGCTGATTGGCCAAGGGGCCCTGGCAGCCCTGCTACGTGCTGCTGACCAAATGGGAGGCAAAAGCCATGGTGTGTTTAAAGCTGCGGTTTTCGCCTCCTAGCCATCAAAAGCAAGTGGCAAGAGGTGGGGCCAACAGGGCCCCTCCGCCAATCAGCAGCAGGGGGTGCGCGGTGAAAACTGCAAGATTAATGAAGCCACTGCACAGCACACTTCTGGCATGAATTCCAGTCATCCCTATACATGACACATGAGGATAGTGTTCAATACCTGTGTATAAAAAGTCAAATAATGGAGCACGACAATAGCTTAGCCTCTGCAATCTCAGGGTAGACCCAGAACACTATACTAATTGGAATTAAATAAACTACACAAACATTTTGTTCCCAAACTTATTTCAAACATAAATCATTAGCAAACAGTGATTAGAATGAACTATGAATGAAAAATACTAACAAGCGCTACAAGTCATAAGGCTATGTTTAAGCATGTTTAAAGGTTTTCTAAAATTCGTGGGAAAGTATTTGTAATACAGCTAAAATATAATAACCATAGAAGTTAACATACCTCTAAGCAAGAAGAAAACAGATACGATGTCCAGAGGAAAAGTTTGGCTAAATCACAAGATTCTTAAGATTATTTGTGCTGAACAGGGAGGGAAAATGTAAACTCAAACCAAGTTAACTAGTAGAAAAGGTCATAAACAATGAGAGAGAGAAATGCAAGGGAAATTAGAAGGTCTAAGAGAAATTCTGCAAAGAAATATTCAAAGACAATAAAAATACACTGAAAGAATTTTGTATTATATCAGTAAAAGAAACCCTGCAAGAGACTTTGTGACTCGACTGAGAATAACCAGGGAGGTAAGGGAATAGATAGGGAGAACAAGGATATAGCTTCCTTGCAAACTGATTTAGAAGTTTTCATCACGAGATTCTAGCAAAATATGCATCTTGAGAAAAGGAAAGACTCCTGGAACATGACTTACAAGACTAGCTAAATGAAGACTGTGTGGGCCGGGTGTGAGCCGGGCCCTTTTTTGTGCTCTGCGCAGGCTGTGGCCAGCAGCCCGGGCACACGGGGTCGGAGAGAACGGGCGACACGCTAGAATTAGGCACAGACTCGTAATGGTAGATTTAAAGATTGTTTACTTACACCAAAGATGGTTGCGGTGCAGGCTGGAAAACTTGCTCGAGTTGCAGCTACAAACAAAACGACACGAATAATCACGTGGAGTTTGCTAGGCTCCACGGAAACAGAGCTCCGGATGCCCTGGACAAGCGCGCCACCAAAATAGAAACCTCGTAGATACGTCTTAAAAAACAAAATTATCGCTCGAAGACGGAAAGAGGTGGGCGGTGGATCAGGTCGCCAAACTCCTCTAAATCTCACACAGGGTTTCTATTACCCTGCCGTGTACCCAGAGTCCCCACGAGATGGATGTGGAGTCCTCTTCGGCTTGGGCGGAAACCGCTCAAGCCTCTTATACTGCTAGCAGGCCAATCGTTAGCCGCCACATGGGAATAATTTAGAACTAGCCAACAGCGGAGAACAAATTTGCATGCGGGTGGCGGGAAATCCTTTGCACCGTGCATTTCTCTTGCAACTTGAGAAACGCACCCTGCAAATAAAGCTACAAATTGGCGGGAAATTCTCCCTTGCACCGGGGTTCTCCTCTGCAGCAGAAAACTCCACCGTGCAAGGAAGCTGCAATTTAGCGGGAATAATTCTAGTGCCGAAGCACACACAAAATCATACCTTTGGGTTATGACAAAGACTAGGAAAATAAATTATATTTAAGAACAATACTGAGTTTAGAAGAATTTGTCCAAGAGTTTTGAAGGAATGCGACAATGAAGTGTCAAAGCTACTAACACGTTCAAGCTCTAATTAAAATAAACTATTCTACCAGAAGATTGGAAGGCAAAAACATATTTTTAAAAGTGAGACATGAGGGCTAATACTAGGAATTACAAAGCTGAGAGTCTTACACTTCAATACTGGGTAAACTGATTTAAATAATTAAAAACAGAATTATAATATACCAAGCCAGATATAGGATAAAGACAAATTAGCAAAGCTTCTGTAAAAGGAAATCATGTCTCTCTAATCTATAAGAATTCTTTGAATGTGTCAACAAAACAGCAGATAAAAGAGGACTGGATGTCTTAGTTTATTTAAACTGACAAAGGGCCTTTGACAAAATACCTCCGCTGAGAAAACTAAACAGACCTAAGGTCCATACAGTCATAGATTAGAAATTGTTTATGGGCATTGGCAGACATTAATTTAATCATGACTAGGATCAGATTAATATCATCCCATGATGTTGCAGAATTTCTGTCAGGTCCTAATTATGCAAATTTGGGTCCATGGGGACCTTGGGATCAAGCACTCGGTCATGTGCCCAGACATTCAAGGAATGCTGTGGGAAAGAAAATTGGGGACCAGTCCAGGATCCCATGGTGTTCTTGCAACCTGCTGGAACAGGAAGATCCCAGCATCAAGAACCAACCCACAACGCAAAGCTGCTTGCAAGCCTGAACCTTTAAAGGGATGGTGGACACACATGATCAGGGAACCAGGCAAACATACAGGCCTGCAGGAGCCCAGCATCAGGAAACTACTCCTCAAATGTCAAGGAGTGACATTCAATTAAACTGAAGGAAAAGATGAATACAACCTACAGCCGATAAGGAGAAATTCTTCCTAGTGACATAATTATACGCTATTGGATTTCTAACACTTTTTTCTGGCTTCTTTCTATCAAACATGGTAAAAGAAAAGATCACTGGGTTAATCTGGAAATATCTTTTCTACAAATAGCAGGAACAGCAGGACCTTATTAGAAGCTGGTCAACCGCTTTCCAGCCTATTTTAATAATGATCTAACCAGCAAACAAATCAATGGTAATTTTCATATTAAATCTTTTCTTAATATTAAGATATAAGTTTCTGTTTTGTAAAGGAAGATGAAAAATAGGTCATAAAGTTTTAAAGCTTGTTTTACAAATTAGGCTCATTCAAAGCAATGTGACTATCCCTGGCTACAGGTAGTAAAATACCAAACAGGAAGAACTTATTTCAAATACACATTGATGATATATTGTTAAAACACTTGATAAAAACAAACAAACCAATCCCCACCCCACCCAAAACAAAACCTTTCTTAGCAAGTAAATTGACACAACCTGAAGTCCAAT